CGGCCACTGCACTCCAGTCTGGGCGACAAAGTGAGACTCCAACTCAAAAAAAAGAAAAAAAAAAAAATTCGCTGGGTATAGTGGCACACACCTGTAGTCCTAGCTAATTGGAAGACTGAGGCAGAAGGATCTTCTGAGCCCAGCAGGTTGAGGCTGCCATGGCCATGAGCGCGCCACTGCACTCCAGCCTGGGCAATAGAGTAAGACTCTGACTCAAAAAAAAAAAAAAAAAAAATTCTGCCTCACCCAGTCACAAGGATTTCCCCGTTTTCTTCAGAAGTTTTGTAGCTTTAGATTTTACAGTTAGGCTTACAATTTTTTGAGTTCCTTTTTTGTATACTGTGCGACATATGAATCGAAGGTCATTTTTTCATGTTCTAGTACCTTTTGTTGAAAAGGGCTTCTTCTAGCTGGGCATGGTAGCACGTGCCTGTAGTTCTGGCAACTTTGAAGGCTGAGCCAAAATGTTGGCCGGGGCCCAGCAGGTTGACACTGGGGTGGTGGCGGTGAGTGTGCCACTGCACTCCAACCTGGGTGATGGAGTAAGACTCCAAGTCAAAAAAAAAAAAAAGGAAAGATCTTTTTCTCTCCACTGAATTGCCCATGTCCCTGTGATAAGTACTAGTTGACCATATATGAATGCATTAATTTCTGGACTCTTCATCCTGTTGATTTGTCTTTATTAAGCTAATGCCACACTGCCATTATTACTGTAGCTTTATAATAAGACTTGAAGTCAGATAATGTTAGTTATTTAACTTTGTGACTCTGCCTCTAAGTTGTTTTTGCTGTTTTACACCCTTTGTATTACCATATGCATTTTCTTTTTCTTTTTTTTTTTTTGAGTTGGAGTCTCACTCAGTCACCCAGGCTGGAGTGCAGTGGCACACTCATGGCCACCGCAGCCTCTATCAGTTGGGCTCAGGTGATCCTTCCACTTTAGTCTTCCAAGTAGCTGGAGCTACAGGCATGTGCTACCACACCCGGCTAATTTTTTTATTTATTATAGAGACAAGGTCCCACCAGGTTGCCCAGGCTGGTCTGGAACCCCTGAGCTTAGGCAATCCTCTCACCTTGGCCTCCCAAAGTGCTGGGATTACAGGCTTAAGCCACTGTGCCCGGCCACCATACAGGTTTTCTAGTTAGCTTACCCTCTATTTTTGTTTGTTTAAGAGACTAGGTCTTATTCTGTTGCCCAAGTTGGAGTGCAGTAGTGCGACCATAGCTCACTGTAACCTCAAACTCCTAGGCTCAAGCCATCTTGCTGCCTCAGCCTCACGAGTAGTTGGGACTACAAGCACGTCACCATGCCTACCTAATTTTTTTGTTTGTTTTGTAGAGACAGGGTCTCACTATGTTGTCCAGGCTGGTCTCGAACTCCTGGTTGCAAGTGATCCTTCCGAAACTCAGTCTCCCAAAGTGCTAGGATTATAGGAGTGCGCTACCACAGCTGGCTTTAGCTTATCAATTTCTACCCCAAGAAGCCTGCTAAGATTTTGATTGGTATATTTTGTTGACTATAGGTCAGCTGGAGAGAATTGACATTTTAACAATACTGGGTTTCTGACTCATGTCTGTATCACTCTATTTGAGTTATTTTTAGTTTCTCCCAGCACTGTTTTGAAGTTCTTCATGTACAGGTGTTGCGTATCTTTTGCCAGATTTATTCCTAGGCTGGGCTCATGCCTATAATCCCAGTCCTTTGGGAGGCCAAGGCAACAGGATCCCTTGAGCCCAGGAATTCAGGATCAGCTTGGGCAACAAAGCAAGATCTTGTCTCTACAAAAAAAAAAAAAAGAAAGAAAGAAAGAAAAAAAGTTAACTGGTCATGGTGGAATGCTACTCGGGAGGCTGAGGCAGGAGGATTGTTTGAGCCCCGAAGTTCAAGTCTGCAGTGAACTGTTAGGGCATCACTCTGGGGAACAGAGTGAGACTCTATCTCTAAAATCATCATCATCATCGCTAAATGTTTCCCGTTTTCTGATGGTGTTGCGATAGGTTTTTAAAACTTCCATTTTTGATAGTTTGTTACTAGTATATAGAGGTACAGTTGATTTTTTTTTCTTTTTTGAGTTGGAGTCTCACTCTTGTCACCCAGGTTGGAGTGCAGTGGCATGTTCACAGCCGCTGCAGCCTCGAACTGCTGACCTCAGCCTTCCAAGTAGCTGGAACTACAGGCGCACACCACCATGCCCAGCTAGTTTTTGTGATTTTTTGTAAAGATGATGTCTCACCAAGTTACCCAGGCCGGTCTCGAACCCCCAGGCTCAGGCAATCCTCTCACCTCAGCCTCCCAAAGTGATGGGATTACAGACTGAGCCACTGTGCCCAGCCTTCAATTGATTTTTATATTGACTCTGTGTTCTGCAACATTGCTAAACTTACTAGTTTTTGTAGATTCCACTGGATTTTTACATAGACAACAATGACATCTACAAATACAGGCAGTTTATTTCTTCCTACCCAATCTAGGTGTTCTGCTTGCTATATAATACTGCAGGACCTCCAGTATGGCGTCAAATAGCATAGACACCCTTGTCTTACTTGGGATCTTAGGAGAAACCATTCAGTCTTTTACATCTAAGTTTGATGTGATCTGTGAGTTTTTTGTAGATTTTGTTTTTCAGGTTGGAGATGTTTCTTTTTAGTTTGCTGAGGATTTATATCAGAAATGGATGTTGGATGTGTCAAATGTTGTTCTGTGTCTTTTGAGATACTCATTATACTTATTCTTTTTAAATTCAGAATTGAATCAATTATTCTTATTATTATTTTTTAGTTGGAGTCTCACTCTGTCTGCCAGACTGGAGTGCAGTGGCCGCTCCCAGTCACCACAGCCTCGACCTGCTAGTCTCTGGCGATCCTTCCGCCTCAGCCTTCCGAGTAGTCAGAATTACAGGCACACGCTACCACGCCTGGCTCATTTTTGATTTATTGTAGAGATGAGGTCTTGCCAAGTTGCCCAGGCGGGTCTTGAACCCGCGGGCTCAGGCAGTCCACTCACCTCAGCCTCCCAAAGGCGCGGGATTACAGGCTGAGCCACCGAACCCAGCTACAATTATTTTTTAAAAGACAGATCTCACTATTCTGCCCAGGCTAGAGTGCAATGGATTCATAGGCACAATCACAGCACATCACAGCCTCAAGCTCCTGGGCTAAAGTGATCCTCCTGCCTCAGCCTTCCAAGTAGCTGGTAGCTGGAACTAAAGGCATGCACCACTGTGTCCAGCTACTTGGATTTTTTATTGTTAAACCAACCTTGCATCACTGGGAGGAGCTACACTTGATCATAATGTATTCCCCTTTTTATAAATTGTTGGATTTTACTTGTTATGATTTTGTTTAGAATTTTTTACCTGTATTCCTGAGGGATATTGGTCTGTAGATTCCTTTCCTTGTGATACCTTTGTCTGGCTTTGG